TGAGGAGGAAAAATGGCAAGTTATCCGGCAGGCAAAAAACTTAGCAAGGAGCGAGGCATTTCGAGATGTATTTATTCACCCAGACCGCACGGTAATGCAGAGGGAACAGCACAAGAAGCTCCTGCTGGACTTGAAGCAGAGGAGGGAGGAGTCGAGAAGGAACGGGGACAGGTGCACATGGGTTATACTCAGGGGGAGGGTAGTGGAAACAAGTGTGCCGACACAGGGCCAGGGGGCAGCAGTGCACCCTCCACCCACTCAACCCCCCACCCGGGAGGCGGCACCAGCTCAGCCTACCGGACAGGAGGGAACGAGCGCCGTGTAAACAATGAAATTTTTAACCACACCCTGCAAAATACAGTGTACTTAGCAAATGCTGCAGCTTCTGAGAATGTGGGTGGAGCGGGTTTATTACTAAGAGCAGAGACGTTACCGAGAACAAATTCTGGCTTGAATGTCATGTACACTAATACCGACACGTTCCTGGATAAGAGGGAGGAGTTTGAAACACTACTAAGAGTACACCAACCAGATATTGTAGGAGTTGTAGAACTGTTGTACAAGAACAGGAGAATCGACCCAGAGGAATGTGAGTTCAGTATTGCTGGATATGACTCATTTACGAACCTAACTCAAGAATCCTGCAGGAGGGGTGTGGTTATCTACGCTAGGCAAGACCTTAGAGCCAGCCAGGCGAGGGTACAGGGAGAGGATGTCTTTGAAGAGTCCAAGTGGTGTAAAATTAAATTAAAGGGAGGGGACTTACTTATCGTCGGGTGTATCTACAGATCCCCGAACTGTGGCCCACTAAATCAAAGGAACTTAAGAACCTTAATAAACAATGCGGCGATGCTCAACCCCAGCCACCTCCTTATCATGGGGGACTTTAACTATGGCGACATCGACTGGAGAAACGAGTCAACCCCGAATGACTTGAATAATCCTGCTACTCTTTTTGTAGAAACTCTGAGAGATAATTTTCTGTTCCAACATGTGAGAGACCCGACACATTACAGAGGGGAGCAAACACCCAAGCCACTTGACCTCATCATAACAAACGAGGAGGGTATGGTGGCCAAACTGGAACACCTTGCCCCAGTTGGCACCAGTCACCATACAGTGTTGTCATTCAGATTTAACTGTTACCTAGTTCAAGATAAGGCCAGGCCAAGGTGCAAATATTACAAGGGAAATTACAATGGGATGAGGGAAGAGATGAGGGGTATCAACTGGCCTGACTTATTAAGGTACAAGAACGCAGACACTACGCTGAATATCATAACTAGTAAAATGACCCATTTGATCGATAAATATATACCCAAGACCAAACCCAGTGCTTCTAGGAATACGAGGGGATCCCTACACATGAACCATGCGGCGGTCGACAAAATTAAGAAGAAAACCCAGAAATTCAAGACGTGGGTTGGGTCAAACGATGAGCAAGACAGGAGGATGTATGCAAGAGCCAGAAACCAAGCAAAGATAGAGTGTAGGAGGGCTGAAAAGGAGTTCCAAAGGCTGGTTGCACGCGAGGTCAAGTCAAACCCAAAGGCGTTTTACCGCTATGCAAAGTCGAAATTGAAAACGCGAGTAGGAGTATCAGACCTGAGGCTTGAAGATGGTAGTTACGCAGATTCTGACCAGGATAAAGCTGAGGCATTGAACAGCTTCTTTTCCTCAGTGTTCACAAGAGAGGATGCAACTAACCTTCCTGCGTTTGAGGACAGACGGTTCGACACAGCACTGACCCACATTGTGTTCACAGAAGAGGGTATTAGAAATAAACTGTCCAGGCTAAAGGTCCATAAGAGTCCTGGACCTGACATGGTGCATCCTAGAGTGCTAAGGGAGCTGTGCAACGAGCTTGCAGAGCCCCTGAAGATTCTGTTTTGTAAATGCCTGGATGAACAAATGGTCCCCAGTGAATGGAAAGTGGCTTATGTGAGTCCTATCTTCAAGAAGGGCGATAGGCACTCCACGAACAACTATAGACCGGTGAGCCTGACCAGCATAATATGTAAAGTACTTGAGAGTATTATCAGAGATGCAGCGATGGAACATCTACTACGAAACAACCTTGTAAAAGATTGCCAACACGGTTTTATGCCGGGGCGCTCTTGCTTGACACAATTGCTCAAGGTATTGGATATTTGGACCCATATTCTAGAACGGGGTGGTAATATCGACAATATTTACCTAGATTTTGCCAAGGCTTTCGACAGTGTACCCCACGAAAGGCTGAAAATCAAACTGGAAGGGTACGGAATTCGGGGAAATGTCCTAGCGTGGATAGAAGACTTTCTACATGACCGCAAGCAATGTGTGGTGATTAATGGCACGAAATCGTCATCTGTACCTGTAACAAGTGGGGTACCGCAGGGTAGTGTATTGGGCCCGCTGTTGTTTGTTTGTTTCATAAATGATATGCCTGACGTTGTACACTCCTCCATACAAATGTTTGCCGATGACGCCAAGTTATTTCGGGAAATTAAGAACCAAGCGGACTGTGAAGAGCTGCAGAAGGACCTCTGTGGGCTCCAGGAATGGTCGAAGGAATGGCTGCTGAGATTCAATGTCACGAAGTGTAAGAGGATGCACCTGGGGCGTACCAACGGTAAGGAGGCGTACCATATGTCCCAACGGGATGAAGAAAATGTACTAGTTGAGACTGTGTGTGAGAAGGACCTAGGTGTGTATGTTGACAATGAGCTGAAGTTCTCGGGCCATTGTGAGAAGAAGGTAAATCAGGCAAATAAATTATTGGGTCTTATAAGAAGGTCGTTCAGATATCTAGACGGTCCGTCCCTCGTGACGATCTTCAGGAGTGAAGTGCTTCCCCATCTGGAGTACTGTCACCCCATCTGGTCCCCGAGATATGCTAGGGACTGTCAGTTGGTTGAAAATGTTCAAAGGAGGGCCACCAAGCTGGTGCCTGCACTTCGGCATCTCAGCTACCCTGCGAGATTGGAGCGCCTGAACTTGCCTAGCTTATACTACAGACGGGCAAGGGGGGACCTAGTTGAGGTTTATAAGCATCTCAGGGGGCACTACTCAGTTGAGTGTCCTTACTTGGAGCTGGCGGACGCTCGCCCCACAAGGGGTCACAGCTCAAGATTGAAGAAGCCGCAAGTCCGGAAAACCGTGAGGGCAAACTTTTTCGGAGTGAGGGTTGTAAACTCTTGGAACAATCTACCAGAGAGTGTTGTGACGGCACCGAGTGTGAGCTCTTTCAAGAGAAGACTTGACCAACACTGGAGCGGGTTCAGGTACATTCAGGAGCCGGTGCATGCCCAGTATTTGCCAACAGTGCGTGACAGAGACGTGACCGATCGCCCGGGCGGCTAGCGAGCCGACCTTTTGGTGAAGAATATAAAGGAAAAGAGTCGTGACCGATCGCCCAAGCGGCTAACAAGCCGATCAGTGGCGAAGAGGATAAAAGTAAAAGTAAAAGGAGTAAAGTGCTTCCCCATCTGGAGTACTGTCACCCCGTCTGGTCCGAGATATGCTAGGGACTGTCAGTTGGTTGAAAATGTTCAAAAGAGGGCCACCAGACTGGTGCCTGCACTTCGGCACCTCAGCTACCCTGAGAGATTGGAGCGCCTGAACTTGCCTAGCTTATACTACAGACGGGCAAGGGGGGACCTAGTTGAGGTGTATAAGCATCTCAGGGGGCACTACTCATTTGAGTGTCCTTACTTGGAGCTGGCGGACGCTCGCCCCACAAGGGGTCACAGCTCAAGATTGAAGAAGCCGCAAGTCCAGAAAACCGTGAGGGCAAACGTTTTCGGAGTGAGGGTTGTAAACTCTTGGAACAATCTACCAGAGAGTGTTGTGACGGCACCGAGTGTGAGCTCTTTCAAGACAAGACTTGACCAACACTGGAGCGGGTTCAGGTACATTCAGGAGCCGGTGCATGCCCAGCATTTGCCAACAGTGCGTGACAGAGACGTGACCGATAAGAGTGCGGAGGTCATATTGCAACTATATCTTGCGCTAGTCAGGCCGCACCTCGATTATGCTGTTCAGTTCAGGTGCCCTTATTATAGAATAGATAGCAATTCACTAGAGTCGGTGCAGCGAAGAATGACGAAAATGATTCCGGGACTTAGAAACCTTCCATATCAAGATAGATTAAAGAAACTAAACTAGCATTCCCTAGAAAGACGAAGAGTGCAGGGAGATATGATAGAAGTGTTTAAGTGGGTGAAAGGAATCAATAAAGGAGATATAGATAAAGTTCTTATAATATCCGAGCAGGATAGGACTCGTAGCAACGGATTTAAGTTGGATAAATTTAGGTTTAGGAGGGAGAAAGGAAGGAACTGGTTCACAAATAGGGTGGTGGACGAGTGGAACAAGCTTAGCAACTTTGTTGTAAGTGCTGGAACACTGTAAAGTTTTAAAAGGAGGCTAGATGATTCATGGATGATAGAGAGTGGTAGCAAATCTCGACAAGAGCTGCCATGCACAGGCAAACCGGCCTATTGCAGACTCCTTATTTTCTTACGTTCTTATGTCCCAAGTGAAGAGGCTAAGCGGCTAACAAGCCGATCAGTGGCGAAGAGGATAAAAAAAAAAAAAAGTGAAGAAAGATAAACGCTATCCCTTTCACTTTCATTTTACGTTTTCTATGACAAATATACAATAAATAATTACTTAGCCCTTGTAAAAGTTTTTATATGTTGTGTCTTGACATTGTAAATATTTGAATCATAGTTTTTCATAATATGTTGCCTGGTTAGGGTTTGTTCATTGATGAAACTTGATGTTTGAGTTTTTTTATTATCGATTTGTTTATGTTGTTCGGTTGGACTTTCCTTTGACTTTGTTTTCTTATTTTAATAATTATCTGCTTTTATATAAGTATAAGGTTATCCTTTTAATAGTAAGAAATTATTTATTATGAAAAATACTTTTTCTAGTGAGTTTATTACGAAATAATACCGACAATTATATATATACTATACATTATTAGAGAAGGTGATGAGCCAGGAGACCGAACATGGAGTGACTGCAGCAGAAGACACTGTAAACTGTGTCTGTCTGTCAACTGATACGGGGAAGGAGTTAATGAGTACTACCACTATTTTATTGGTCACCCCACCACTACTTATAGTCCAAGTACTATGCAACTTGTAGATTGTGAAGTACAGACAGAAGAAGTGGAGTTGTTACTGAGGGAGAGTGGTGGCGAGGGCTACACCACCAGACGGGCGTGGGATAAGAGGTTTAACTCTCTAGTGCACTACCATCCACCACCAAAGGAAGCCTCAATGAGAAAAGGAGTCAAGAAATGTATATATTTACTTGTATTTTTGACTTTCCTGGGTGGTGCGGGGATTGTCTTAATTGGATATTATTGCCCTGAGTCAATGTGTTCAGTGAGATCGTTCTCCTCGGTGAAGAAATACAAGTATAATTATATCAGAGATGGTATTAACCAGTTCCACCTCCAGACTGATGTTTTAGGTAAGCCACTGGGTGAAGCGGCAAGGTCTGGCACTGGACCGTCTTTTGAAGATGTCATAAGCCGCGATTTTCAATTTGACATCGAGGATCATGACGTGATTGTTTTTCTTCATATCCAAAAAACTGGTGGAACAACCTTTGGTAAACATCTTGTAAGTGATCTAGATTTAGCAAGACGCTGTGAGTGTCATAGAAGAGTGAAAAAAAGATGTACTTGTCTGCGACCCGGCCCAAATTCTGATGAGATGTGGCTCTTTTCACGCCACTCAACAGGATGGAAATGTGGTCTTCATGCTGATTGGACAGAACTAACGAGCTGTGTTGATGACATGATGGATAAGATTGAAGATCATGAGATAAAACGGAGGTTAGTATTTACTTTAAGCAATGCGGGAATGTTTGGTTTATTACAGGCGGTACAGCGGTAACCCACGTAACTCACCAATATGTTAGGCAGTGGATATTTTGCTGTGACCGGCTAAGTTCCTACTTACATTATTTTACCGTGAATGAACTCTGATTGGCTAATCGTCCATTACCGGTGAAGGTGAACAAAACAGCGGTAAATTTGCAGTTTCAGCCCCAACTAATGTTTGATGATAATTTTTTGTTTTTTCCCATGGTATTTGGTGTGATTCTTTGGAATTTGACATTCATTTTCGTTGGAAGTGAATCGTTTTGGAGTTATCACACCCACCATAGAACCTGGCCCATCTAACCAAAGAAATCTACCTTACCATATTTATAAGCTAAATAAATGATCTGACATCTGAACTTGATACATCAACGTGTAAAACATTTACCGATGATAACAAGATCTATGGAGAGGTTTAGATGGATTCAGAGGAGATTTCAGGATTGCAGAAAATTTTTAATCTAATGAACAATTGGTCAGAGGAGTACATGTCAAACTATAACCCAAGTAAATGTACTGTAAATTGATTATTATATGAATAACCAAAGGCTGAAGTGGTAAAGAAAGAAAAGGATCTTAGAGTTGTGTTAAGTAACAACTTAATGTTTAAGAGTCATATAGGAAAATCAATTACAAAGGCGAACCAGTCACTCAGAATTGTTAAGAGAACGATTACCTCCATAAATGAAGCACTCTTTAAGACTCTATATTTAACCTACATTTGACCTCACTTGGAATATTGTGTACAGATGTGGATGCCGTATTACAGAGGTGAAATTGATAGTGCAGGGTATTGAGGAACTGCAGAGAAGAGCAACAATAATCATGCCATCACTGACTGACCTATCTTATGAGGAAAGACTGGCAAAATTGTGATTAACCACTTTGGAAGAGAGAAGGAGTAGAGGAGACTTAATCGACACGTATAAGATAATGAATGGTTATGAAAATGTAGACATAAATTTTTCCAAGACCGAATATATCAAGGAAACTTGAGAGGACATAACCACACATTACAAAAGCAAAGAGCAAATAAAGAAAAAAGCCACGTTTTCAGTCAACGAGCAGTGGACAAATGGAATAATCGGGATCAGTATGTAGTTCAAGAACTGCCTTGGTAGAGTCAGCACGTAGATGTGGGCCGAGCCTGGTAATAAACCCCGACAGGGATAATCTTTTCACCAGGACACTACTACTACTACTTACCTAACTTCCTAGCCTTCCCTGCCATATTAAACAGACAGTACTTATTTTGATATCTGATACCAATGAAAGCAACGTTTTTGAGCATTATGGTGTAATTTTATGTTTTGTGGACACAAGTATACGCTCAGACCAAGTGTATTAATTGTAAACAAACAGACGACATGCGGTGACTGAAGATTTACGTTTATTTCTTTGGTGAATTTACTATCTAGGTTAATATCCATTTGCGACGGAAGTGGTATTAGAAAAAGTTGTTCCTATTAATGAGATATAACTACAGTAATGATAAACATAAAATTGCTCTAACAGAGTTGGGGCTGAAACTGTAATAATACCCAGAGCGTAAGTTGGAACTTAGCCGGTCACGGCAAAATATCCACTGAGAATATGTTAAGGGTTTGAGCTTTGGCCCGAATGCAGATGAGAAAGGTGTTATCCAATGTGACCCTCACTACCAAACATCACAGGTTTCCTGGTACCTGGTTTTCTCCTGTACTAACACTGGATTGACCAACCACCTAAATGGCTAGTAGGCTGATAGTGGCGAGAAAAAAAAGCTAAGGGACTCATATTATTTTTCCTGTCATATCTTAGTTTACTTTTGTAATTTGTCCTTTTGGTCGAGGCTGATGATCATTATCATTATTATTATTTTATTATATTTTCGCCCCCCAGGCCTTGATGTGGGTCATTAAAATTGATTTGTGCCCGGGTGGGCAATGGTTATTATTTGTCTTTTGTCTGGTCATGGACCTTTGCTTACTTTCACTATTTGTCCAGCATTGTTCTGATTGATTGAGACTAATAGCCTAGATTTCTGAATCCAGTCTCTTGTAAACATGGATAGGTTAGGTTCTGGTAGGGTAAATATTCGTTTTTTGCCCAACTGGATTTTTTTTTGCTAAAATAATATATTTCCTGTGAGTTTTGAGTTGAAAAATTAATATAACTTATTTTTTTGGCGAATGCTTACTTATGGAGATATGACCTTTTTAACACTAGCAATGAAAGTGGAGGAAAAAGCTATTCTTTTTTTGTTTGTGTTTTTTTTTGGTGCTTAGGTCACGAGGGAATCATAGCACGACTGAATACGTACTGTATATACAGTATTTGTAAATAAAATTTTTGTGTATGTGTAAATCTCCCTAGAGATCTGAACTGTCCTCTGATTGGTTAAAGCAGATCAGGACCGTGAAGTTTACAGGAAAGAGATTTGAATTAAATATATATTCCATGAAAATATGTTTAGGGAACTTAGTATCTGTTAATATTGTTGTATCCTGGTTGTGCCTGCATCACGTCCAATTAAACATAAACACAATTCGCAGCATATGAACCCAGGTTCACAGAAACAGCAATTGCTTGACCATCAGATAAATATGGCAACAATCTTGTTGAAATAGTTTATAATATAGGTTAGGTCAGGTTCTTAAACGTTCTAATGATGTTTGTTTTGTGTGTGTGTGTGTGTGTTTTTACCTAGCATTTTCCCTCATCTTCAAAGCCCAGCCTACTTTGGAAGGATTCGTTGTCGATGCTAGTATTAAGGGGGTCATACTCCATTAATGAGCATTAGCCCCAAAATAAAGGTCATATTCATTAGAAAAAGCTTTTATAGTAAAATTTGATCGGTGATTGGTTACTTAGTTCCCCGTTGCTTAATTACCGGTTGGGCTTTGTTGTTTCGTATAATATTATACTATGTACTAAAGTAAACAAACGGCCTTGAGTTGCCAGTTGTCTCCAGCAGTGTTCAAAGAATCTTGAAACAGACTGTGCATATAAATAAGTACATGTAGGATGCGAGGACTACCGGTACTGTACGACAGAGAGGGAGAATAGTCATTCATCTGTTGACTTCATAGTTGCCAGTTTAGCGTTGTTTTAACGGGGATTAGCCCACCCGGGCACAGGTCGAACGACCCACAACGAGGCCTAGGGGGTGAAAAAATAAGAACAAAGAAATTAAAAATAGAGAAGAAAAAGGTTATACTGTGTTAATCTACACCACGAAGATGCTGGAAAACCAACTTTTTAAAGTGAGACAGATTGTATAAGTATGGAAACATAAGAAGAAGGCAGAACATTCCACAGTTTGGCTGTGTGAGGAAAGGAGGTGGTACTATAACGGGTTATTCTAGTGTGACCGACATCCACAGAGAAACGGTGGGCACCGCGGGCAAGACGTGTGTTACGAGCCCAAGGCCTTGCCGGCGGTACACAGGATGCCAACTCCACCGAACATTGTCCGTTAAAGCACCTGTAAATGAGAAAGAGTGAAGCAACTTGTGACAGCTTTTGGCATTTAGCCAAGTCAATGTTAAAATTTTTCCTCTTTTAGATAATTTCTTACATGTACACTACCGGTATTTTTTACGATTTTTATGTATTTAGTGACTGTAGCATCTTTAGGGATGAATCTAGTCACATTCATGAACAAGTGTTGGCATCACTGGCTGGGTTGCTGCAGGCCAGCCAGCTGTTCCCAGGCACCTGCCTTGTTTACAACTTTACACCACTTTCATGTAAACATTTTCAAAGTCCAGGAGCATTATATGAATATACCATAATTGCATTTAAAAAAAAATGAACAACTTATTACTGGTAACTACGCTAGTAACATTTGTTGGTAAGAAACCGTAGTTAGTCCCAAAAGATATTTTAATGTTTTGAAAGGCGTTGGTATCACTTGTGAAAACATTGGCAGAAAAATGCTACAGTTGGGTAAAGCTTGTTTGTGAGTGCTTGAAATTTAGTGACTGAGACCTACCAGTACAGTAAAGTGATAATCTAATGCTGTTGGTGGAGCCGTACTTAGAGGTTGACATCTAATAATTTTTGTATAAGGAGACCCTTAGTTTTGAACACAAAAATTGGAGCTTCAAAGGTTGACTTATAGGTCGCAATACAGTATATGGTAATAAACGTCTCCATTAGTAAAATAATGGAAATTGAGAAGTAGGTACACACTGTGTACCCCTCATTTCCATCACTGAGTTACGGTACATCCATACATGTTTTTGCGTATTGTTATGGGAAGGGCCTGTAAGGATGGGCCAACCAATATAATGTGTACATACTGTACAAACTTCCTCAACAAGCTAAACCACCCTCATGCTTGTTACACATTGAGCTCACTTTCTATATAAAGAGAACCGACTGGTTTAAACGGCAGTCTCTACCAGAGTTTCGCACGCCCAGAGGCCAGATGTGTGGACACCTTACAGGGGTCACTTGTGGACTCGTGTGTTGTGGACCTGAGCTGTCAACTGAGTTCAGTACTAATGTGTTTCTCATCAACGATGCAGTTAGTGCTACCCTCTAATATGTTGGTGTGCGAGAGGGTAATGGCTATAAATTCATTGAATGAGAATGGAATCCCAGTTAAAAATTGAAAGTGTGAATGCCGCACACTGAATATTAAGGTTATAATGGGAGAGTTTTATTACAGGAATTGTTATGTTAGTACCAGTTATCAATTAAAATTTTTCCAGATTCACTCCTTGAATTTTACACAATGTTTTCAGGTATTTTTATATAACATTCCTGAGGAATCCTGTTCATCGATACTTGAGTGAGTTCCGTCATGTGCGCCGAGGTGCCACTTGGAAAAATACAAAACTTCTGTGCCAGGGGAGACATGCTACCAAGGTCAGTAGTGTAAGAACTTAAAGGATTTCACATCTGTAGTTTACATTAAGCTCTGGCTTTGCTTGCATATGATATATTATTCCACTATTCTCATAATTTTTTGTTGTTTTTGCATAATGTTTACTAGATCTGTCTATTTCTTATTGTATATGGTGATATATCCATTAGCCGGAACAATTGGTACAGAGCACTTCTGGGAATGAGAGATTTCCGGGTAACAAGACAACTTTTTCAAAGCCGGAAAAATATCCCCCATCCCCGGAATTTTCCTGGTACTGGAAAAAAAAATCTCGGAATTTCCGGAAAATGTGCCTGATTTTCATCTCTCAAATCTGGAAAAACTCTCCCATTCCCAGGATTTTCCTGGTATCTGGAAAATTTTCTCAGAATTTTCCGGAAAATGTACCCCTGGGAAAATCATTCCCAAAGCCGTAATTTTCTGGACAATTCCGGCTTTGGTAATGATTTTCCGAGAAAATTTCAATTCCAGCTATTGGAGAGTTTTGCATTTGAGGGATTCCGGCGAATGGAGATATTACCACTGAAATATATACTGTACGTACCTAATTTTTTCATTGTGTATTTGTATTATGATTTTTTTTATACTGATTCATACAATAATATTGTACTGTATTGGTGCTCCATTGTTTTATGCCGGGGTTATCACATTAGTTCATGGCCTGAATATCTTGAGTTGTTAGGCACTTATTAGGACTTTATTTTCTAATCTGAAAACTGTAGTCAAAAGTATTTTGTTATTAATGAATAGTAATATTTCCCTTAGCCGCAATCCCTCAAACCCGGAACTCTCCATTAACCGGAATTGAAATTTTCTCGTAAAATCATTACCAAAGGTGAAATTTTCTGGAAAATTCCGACTTTGGGAACGATTTTCTGAGGGGCACATTTAATTTTCCGGAAACTTCAAGAAAATTTTTCCGATACCCGGAAAATTCCGGGCATGAGGGATTTTTTCTGGCTTTGAGTCATCTCATTACCCGGAAATCTCTCATTCCTGGAAGTGCTCTGCACCAATTTTTCCGGCTCTTCCTGGGGTGAGAGATTTCCAGGTAATGAGACGACTTTCTCAAACACAGGAAAATCCCACATCCCGAGAATTTTTCTGGGAACTGGGAAAAGTTTCTCAGAATTTTTCAGAAATTGTACATTATTTCATCCTCAGAATTCGCTCCCAGAACCGGAAAAAGAATTGGAGAGTGTCTTGATTTTTCTTGAAATTTTCCAGAATTATGCATTATTTCATCCTTGGAATTTACTCCCAAACTCGGGAAAAAAATTCTGGAGAGATTTTCAAGAATTCTTTCAGAAAATTTGCTTGATTTTCAACAGCGGAAACTAGTTCACAGACCTGGAATTGAGATAATTTTTCTGGGTAATGGAGATATTATGTATCCATTAATTATTGAAATTATGGTGTTAATGAAATATTCTAGGTCAGAATACTGTAACATGATCACTTTCTTATAATCTAGTTGAATATACAGTTCTGTAAATTATTACTAAACTTCACGTAAGTTTTAATGTTACATCTGATGATATTGAATACTGTAGCTACGCTAAACCAAAGAATTTTTTTTTTAATTATAATTCTCTCCCATCCCTTGAAATTACTGTATAAGGAAGCTCCATGTTATTCTTTAACTAAATTACAGGAAGAAGTACCCATGTGTTATGAAACTAAAACATGGGAGAATGTTACCTTAGAGGAATTTATGGAATGTGACAGCAACCTGGCTATCAATAGGCAGACCCGCATGCTGGCTGGTATGTATTCAACACCTATGTTTTCTTTTGTTAGTTTTCTGAACTTTGGAATTAATAAAGAAAGTTTAATGTATTGTATACCATGTATACAGTATAATTAATTCCTGCCTACACAGATTTTCAAATTTGCTGTTCACCAATCAATGGCCCATTGCATTATGGTATAAACTATTGTAACTGTGCATGATCCACCCAATTCCAAATCTCCTGCAGTTTGCTACACTGGAAAATAAATAAACATACTCTATAGAATGTTTTTATGATGAAATTATACCATCATTAAGTACAGGTTGGCCCCTTTGTCTGACCACCAACTCCCAACTTCACAATAATAAATACAATTGGCCAAAAACTGTTAAAAAATTTCCGATGTTTCGTCCGCACGAAAATGTATGAATTAGCTCGTATTTCAAATTAGTGGAAGCCAAATTAGTGAGATTCTAGTGTACTCTTCCCCTTGAATAAAAATGCTTGCACAAGTGAAAAAAATTGACATTTTCTCTATCATAAAAAGGTTATTAATAATTTTTTACTTTTGTCGCAGATTTGTCTCTGGTTGGTTGCTACAATAAGTCAATGATGCAGCCAGAGGAGCGAGAGAAAGCAATGCTTCTTTCAGCCAAGAACAATTTAAAGAAGATGGCATTCTTTGGCTTAACAGAGTTCCAAGAAATCAGTCAATATTTGTTTGAAGAGACATTCAATCTGAAGTATGTTGCACCATTTAGCATATTTTAATGAGTTTCAGTGATGAAGTATTGAATTACTGTACAGTTGGGTCTTCATTTACGCGGTCAATTGAACCCACGGAGTACCGCGTAAAACGAGAAATGCGTAAATGAAATAACAGAACATATGGGATTAATTGAAATAGAGACTGGGCCGACCCCCAAACTCCACTTTTTCCGACACAATACGTACCTTGTAGTCAAAATAACATTTTAATTTTATGATGGTATGCACACGCAATTAATAATTAAGAGAAATATTAATAATATTAGGTTTTTTAACACTTAACATTAGTAGAAAAGATGGCTGGGCACACGGGGATGGGGGGGTTAGTTCCGAGGTAGAGGGCAGATTATTGGCCCTCACCTGTATCAATTGCAGGGCCTCTTTGTCAAACCTCTCTAAGTCCATATAAGTCCATATCCTCACTATCACTGACTTGGGCCGGCTCTGGTGGGTGGCTGGTGAAGAACTCAGTAATGTTTTGATGACTGGGCGACCTTGTGCGCACCCTGCCCACGCCGCTTCCCGCGTAAATGATTAAATTTGTTGCGTAAATCAAGCATTTTAATTCTGGCAAGGCACCACGTAAATGACAAAACGCGTAAACCAAAACAGCGTAAATCCAGACTCGACTGTATATTGAATTTTCGTAGCACTATCGCTGTAACTGTGTATTATTCCCCACACACAGATTATATTGCATGTTGAAAATCTTTTAGATGTCTTATTTTTAATCAGACTTATAAGGGATGCTTTGTTTAGTTCTTTGTTGATGAGAAAGGATTAAAGTTAATTGAATGAAGTAGCCCATAAGAATAACCAATTCTGCCCATTGAGGCTCGAACTCAAAACTGTAATATATGAGTCTCTTGCGATACTCATTCAGCTACCAGCCAGACATAAACTAAAAGGAAACTTTTACTGCTGTCCACTACAGTCTTGATAAAATGTAAACCCTCAGCTGTTTGGACTTTCTGGATTCCTGTGATCAACCTTAAATGATCACTACTGACTAGGTTCATCGTGCAAATACTGTAGATATGTATTACTCATGTGCAGGATATCAGTTTCCCATTAGAAGCTTGACCCCAAGACTGATGTAATTCATTAAAAGAAAGTTTCTACAACATAAACAGGGAGCAAAATCTTTATATAAATGTTTTAATAACTGTATATTATGATCAAGGAATTCTGTATTGGCAGCAGGTCTAGAGGGTTGAATCTTGGCACCAGGGCTCCTACTTGTGACTAGAATCTAAAAACTGAACAGATTCATACATTCTATAATTCTTTATTTTCATACTGGATTATAAGAGTCTCATTGGATGACCAGGCTTGATTGGCAAGCATTATATTTAATCTCCCTGGGCCTTTTAGCATGTGGTTTTATAAATATGGGTATTCCTGAGCTTGCTGATTATGAATATGTGGTCCATGATTCGATTGCAGAGTAATTAGTGGCCAAAATGACCCTTGAAAGATTTTACTGACATTTTTCAATGCTAATTACTCATCAACTATGGGTTTTCAAGGTGTGATTTAGGGTTTGTGTGTTATTCTGAAAGTACTTAATTAGTTAAACCCCTTAAATTTCAATTCCGAGAAAAAAGTATATTATGGTCAAAAATTTTGTAAGGTGTAAGACTTACATTTTTTGTGGTTTTGGGCCCAAAATTAGATTTTGCTGACAATCACAGTATGGGTACTCCTGACCTTGCTGATTATGAATATGTGGTCCACAATTCGATTGCAGAGTAATTAGTGGTATTTTTATGGAAAATAGTGTACTGTATATATAATTAAACTAAATCAATTTGTACTGTACTCACTGTCTTTGTTGCACTCAGAGAAGTACCACTTCCAGCACCAGCCTTAATCTTGTTTGTGCTGGTTCAGATAGTATGCATTGTTGCGGGGGTTAGACTTAGCGCAGCAGCAATGTCCACTTCACGTTCACTTTTCTCAAAATGGTTAAAACCTCCATTTTCGTAGCAAGGCTTATGGTCTTACGTTGCTTCTTCACAACACTAGCATCACTTGATGGGCGCTTAGAAGCGACTGGCGACGCTTGGGGATGCTGTGACGCTCCAAAAGTGAGAGTGTAGCGCACCAAGATGAGAGAGGGTGATGTGCTGTACAAAGTAGTCTGTGACGATGTTATACTGAATCGGTGGGACATCCGAATCATGGGTATCTAAGGAATAGCGAAATTATAACAAAACAACGTTACCGGGGGCAACGTTAAACGAGGACTTACTGTATATACAGTATATAAGAGGTAGACTAAGAGGATGGAGGAGGATGAAGGGAAAACAATTGATTCAAGAGGTTTTTGAGTTTGAATGTGGGGGGGTTGAGTAATAAGAGTAGGCCAAGAATGGCATAGGTAGAGGCTGGGGAAATGATTTCAAGGATAAACACCTAACTAAGAGAAGTTGCAAGAGACCATGCAGCTTAGAAAGCTGTAATAAGGTAATAATAGCTGAGCCATACAAACATGGAAGATTAACTCAAAACAATGATGATGATGATGAAATCATTGTTGAAGTGCCTTTTTTTATATGAATTGGAGTTACACCCATAATCTAGCCATGAATCATTTTATATTGTGTGGGTGGTTTTAACACAATTGGCAGGTCTGGGCCTGTTAGCCTTCAGTGGGACATAGGCATACCTATGTTTAGAGACGGTATTCAATGGGTTTTTAACTAGGGGTTGGCTCATAAACATTACCTCTCAGTATTATAATCATTACACTTATTTTGTTACACTTCTTATTAATAATTAAATTTGTGAATAGATTTTATATATTGTATTCCTCTGTTCAATGAAAAACATAATTTACTGGCTTTAGTGTACAGACTTTGGTCAGTCCTTGCATAACATCAAATCCCATATAACCGAGCCAGGATTGAGCAACTCAGCATCCCTCACTCCTCCCTCCCAAAGGTGGTGCTGAGGTAAACTGAAGTTGAAGAGTCAACTCAAGTGCCATAATTTTGTAAACAAGATAAAAAGTGAATCAGAATGTACAAGTTTATGCTTGGCAGTCAAAACTCTTTAGCCTTTTGCCTTTTAGGTAGCCTTAATGCCTTAAAAGCTGTTGTGCATGTGAAGAATTCTGTAGTCTCATTATCAAATTTATACTATTTTTTGTTTTTATTCCTGTCACAAGTTTGAGCCCATGGGCCTAGGAATTCGTCCCTATACAGTATAGAGTTGATCAATCCCAGCTTAGTTATGAATTTAGATTTCAGGGTGAATCCACTTTTTTTCAGAGTAATCATATAAAGATTTTGAATATTATCATATGCAGGGTTAATATTAAAAATTTCACTTTGGGACAATTTGCTCTAAATGTAAGGAAAGGATTGAATTTGTATTAAGGATACATGTAAGCTGCAGAATTAATCTAACTTCATTTTAAATCCAGATTGTTGTAATTCTTCTCACAGGTTTAGAGTTCGCTTTGATCAGCACAATCAAACCATATCTGATATGGCGCTGCAGGACATTGATTTAGCAACTCGTAGGCGTGTAGAAGAGATAAATAGCATAGACATTCAGCTGTATGAGTATGCTAAAATGCTGCTTCAACAACGATTCAAGAAATTATCCTCACAAGACCTGAGCTTTAAGGAACACTTCGAGAATATGGGTATGAGTAAATTTTCATGGTCAGAGATTGACCAAGAGCAATGAGAAATTTTTATAGGGTCTGTGATTTCATAGTTCTTTACTTTTTATCAGTAAAGTTTAAGTTGATGTTCAGGTGTGTCTTCTAGTTTATATTTTGTTTATAACTTTTATATTATTTGTGATGTGTCTGGAACTGTTTTTTACCTGTAGTCTAATTATTATTTAGCTAAGAAAATTATTCAGTACAGTACTGTGCAGTATAAGCTTTGTAAAAAAAATATTACAGATTTAAATGTAGTTAACTCTACATTTATATTAACCATACATGGATTTATTTGTGCACATTAATGCAAAAAACACATTTAGATTCATGTTCTTTTACATATAAATGTGCACTCCTAATCCCACAATAAATGAACAGGAATTATATTCAAGTGGTACAGCTTTTAGTTATTCACAATAGAAAGAAATGTAAATAATATGGCAGTGCAATGCACGTATAATACCCTGTACAGTACTTGAAACAAAATCATGTACAGTTTGTTGAAAAATGGTATTACTGTTTAACTCTTTAGGTGCGTAATTAAATTTCGCGCCGGTTCCTGAAAAGTGTCAATTATCCTGCCAAAAATGAATTTCATATAATCACATTTTCTATATGTTTTTCCTAGAGAACTTTTAGTATATTTTCCAAATCTGGAACAAAAATTCACATATGTGTGCAAATTTTAGAGAAAAAATGACATTTATACCCAAAAATGCAGGAAATTGGTATAAATCAATGTCTGGTATATGCCAAATAAATTTAATCAATTTGGTTACTAAACAGCAAATTTAGATATGTATTACATATTCAGATAATATCAAACAAAATAGTACAAAAATAAGCTATATTGCATTCAGGAAATACTCCTATACCTCAATACATAATATGTCCGCATGTCGTCTCATTTGGGGAAGTTTTTTCAAGGCCGTGGGATATCCCCGCTTGTCGCATTTAATTAATATAATATTTTGGGCGGGTTTACCCACATGTCGCATCCAAAGGGTTAAGTACAGTATTTCAAAGGATACACTTGTTACTGCATAACTGATTCATAAATATAACATTAATAAATAGTAAATAATGACCACATTACTTATGTGATAGTGACAACAGTGTGTAGAATTTTGCAGATGGTGTCTGAAATACACAAATCTGCAGAGAAATGGGAATTTAATTTTTGACAAGATTTTGTATTCAGGTACAGTACCAAAGGAGTAGTTAAGCTTTTATATTGTGAAACATTTATAAGAACAAACTGAATTTTATGAAAAATAAACTCAACTTGTGTCTGCCTGCCAGTTTGATATGTAACAGATTGAATTTAATCCTTTATGTGCTTCACAGATTACCATTGATATTGATTAATTCATTTTATAGGATGTTGGATAAAATTTTTATACTGGGCTTTCAGTGATTTATTCCATCTACATGAAGTAGGCAGGTAGGAATCACAGAGTTGGGTTTAGGATGGGCTGTCATAAGGTTCGGTCATTTATATATATACAATATATATATTCCCCAACTTACGATGGGGTTACGTTCCTGAAAAACCATCACAGAACGAAATATCATAAATCGGGACCATTATAACATAGGGTTCAATGGGATGTGTTCCCAGCCAGTCAGACACCCACATGTATCACTAAAAATAAAATTCTTACACTAATACAGGTTGTACCTCTCTAGTCCGGCATTCTGTGGTCCGGAACGATTTTAGTTTGTCAAATAGGTAGATAGGCAGCTTTTTTTTTTTTTTTTTTTACTTATCTGAATTATTATTATTATTACAGGAGTATTAAATTTTTGCCCCTCAGGCCCCAATGTGGGTCAGTGACCTATGCCTGGGTGGGCTAATCCCCTTAAAAAAAAAAAGCCGCGGGAAATTAAGGTTTGTTTACATCCGGCAGTTCGGCTGCTCTCTCTCTCTCTCTCTCTCTGCTTGTCTATACAGAGTACAACATTTAACCCTTCAATATATATGAGCAGTAAATAAGTGTTGCTTTCATATTCTTATGTAGAGTAATGACGATATATTTTCACATGTGCGCACTTACATATGAGCAGTTACACTTTTTTTTACCATTAATGGTTAGCTACTTATATTGTTCCATTTATTAACATTAAATAACATTACAGGTACTTCAAGCAACCATATTCATTTTTTACATTAATTTTACTACAGCTAAACTCAGGGTCTTATTTTCTTCAGTTTTATATGTAGAACCAATCAGTCACTGGTTTCGTAAGCTTTAACATGAACAATGCCGGCAGCGGTCTCGTCTCCTCTAATATTCCACGTATTATTAATAAATTGTATTGTTAATTTTGCACACACGTACATTAATTCAATAAAAACAAATTCAGAAACATTAATTAAAATATATATGAACAGTAAATAAGTGTTGCTTTCATATTCTTATGTAAAGTAATGACGATATGTTTTCACGTGTGCGCATGCGCACTTACATATGCGATCTCTCTTTTTCTTTACCATTATCGTTAGCTGCTTCTATTGTTCCATTTATTAACATTAAATAACATTACTTAAAACAACCATATTAATTTTACTACAGCTACAACCAAGGTCTTATTTCCTTCAGTTTTATATGTAGAACCAGTCAGTCACTGGTTTTGTAATCAATGAAAACAATGCTGTGTCATTTCCTCATGTGTTTTAATTTTCTACGTATTATTAATGAATTGTATTGCTCATTTTGCACACATAAACATTAATTCAATAAAAAAGACATTCAGTAATAAACAATAATGAATCTTTTGTACATAAGAGAAATGACGCTGTTTACACGATTATGCACGTCGTCTGCACGTTGGCGGGCCGTTCAAACCCGTCGAAATTCAAGTTTCCCCCGTCAAAATTTTTACTTATTTATTTTTTTGTGTGTTCCAATAAAATACGTTAAGAATTAAAAACTCGCGAAATTTGAGAAGCTACGATACGACATTTAACCCTTCAATATGTCTTCAAAGAGACCATGACGCAGAGAAAGTGGTGCTAGTGGTTCCAGGCATAAGCACAAGTCACTATCTATCCAGGAAACGGGTGAATTTCCATGGTCCGGCACCGGTCAGGTCCCGAGGTTGCCGGACTAGAGAGGTACAACCTGTACTATACAGTAAAAACACCATAATTCCTAATACTCTAATTCAAAGTCACTCATAATTTGTACTGTTTAGCTGTTATAAAATATACTGTATATTACAAGTTTCATAATATGTTAGGTAAAATTTAGAAATATGAGAGACATTTTGAAATATTGTGATATAAATATTGAAAATTTCATAATACGTACTGTATTTGGTAAAATTTTTAATTATGAGAGACTTTTACGAATACTGTACATACATGTCACCTTGGGATCCAACTGCCGTCTCAGTGCAAGCAAAGTACAGGTACTATACGTGTGTGTCGGTCACAGTCAGCTGATGTTGGTCAGTCATGCAGTGTACTTCTACAGTCTACCATGCAAGCGTTTTGTCACTTGTTTTTCCATCATTGCCTAGTGTTTGAGCCATTACTATATATGATAATGATGGACCAAGCACCTAAATCTGGCACAGAGGTATTGTACTTGGGAATGTTTAAATTTTGCTTGAGACTAAAGTAATATTAACAATAAGTGTTGATTTAGAATGATCTCCAAAGCCGGGTAAATACCAGTAAATTATAGCATGTGAAACACACTGATAGCATAGATAGTATTTTAAAGTGAAAAAGGAAGAGTTAAAAGGTATCAGTGGTGTTTGTTGTCATTTTGTCCCCCATGTATATCATGAGCTTCCTTTGATTTGGCCCAGTTGCAAGCTAGGAGTAAACAGGGTATACTGTAGTTAACTTGAGGATTGGTTCTGGCAGCTAGTTCTTATCTTATAATTATAAATTTTTTCAATGGTAAGTACAGTACAGGTTGTACCTCTCTAGTCCGGCATTCTGTGGTCCGGAACTCCCATGGTCCAGAACGATTTTAGTTTGCCCATGGAGAAAATTAATTTGAGTCTGGTACTTTCAATGTTTGGCTAAATTTTGCCTTGTTTACCCAACTTTTTTGGCGACTTACTACCTCTAATAAAGCAACATCCTAATAAAGCAACATCCTAATAAACCAACAAAAATAACACAGATAAAGTTAAATAAAAACTAAAAACAGCACAAAAAGTTTCTATGTTCTACAGCTTCAGCTAGAGTTGAACCTGATGACTTGGCAACTTCGTCATCTGAGTAAAAACACACACAACAACATTGGCTGTCCTTATGTTTTCAACTTTATCACCGCTGGTGGGTAGAATTTATGTTTTAAATTCAGAAACATGAATTAAAATATATATGAACAGTAAATAAGTGTTGCTTTCATATTCTTATGTAGAGTAATGACGATATGTTTTCACATGTGCGCACTTACATATGCGATCTCACTTTTTTTCTTTACCATTAATGCTTAGCTACTTTTAGTGTTCCATTTATTAACATTAAATAACATTACTTAAAGCAACCATATTAATTTTTTACATTAATTTTACTACAGCTACAACCAAGGTCTTTTTTTCTTCAGTTTTATATGTAGAACCAGTTAGTCACTGGTTTTGTAAACAACGAAAACAATGCTGTCTCGTCTCCTCGTGTGTTTTAATATTCTACGTATTATTAATGAATTGTATTGTTCATTTTGCACACATAAACATTAATTCAATCAAAAAGACATTCAGTAATAAACAATAATGAGTCTTTTGTACATAAGAGAAATGACGCTGTTTACACGATTATGCCCGTCTGAACGTTGGTGGGCCGCTCAAACCCGTCAAAATTCGAATTTCCTCCGTCAAAATTTTAATTTGTGTAGTGTTTTTTTTTTTTTTTTTTTTCCAAATAAAAACGTCGAATTAAAAACTCGCGAAATTTGAGAACCTACTGTACAACATTTAACCCTTCAATATGTTTTCAAAGAGACCACGAAGCAATGAAAGTGGTGCTAGTGCTTCCAAGCATAAGCACAAGTCACTGTCTATCCAGGAAAAGGGTGAATTTCCATGGTCCGGCACCGGTCAGGTCCTGAGGTTGCCGGACTAGAGAGGTACAACCTGTAGTATTATTTTGGATCATAGATCAGAGTGTGGAGCCTCCTGAGTTAAATCTTGATACCGATTCAATCAAGCTGCTCCCCTCAAACTGAACAGAGTTGACAGGTAAGGTGCACACATTAGTACAATGTCACAGCTTTTTAGTCACAGACCTCATGTGTTTATTGCAATAGGAATGTGTGTCTAGTGAATGGGCTAGACCCAGACATTGATGTTGGACGTTCACCTGGGTTGTCAGCCTTTAGACTGGTGGGTAATGTACACCCACTAAAAAATTATTGAGGACCCTTACGGCGTGATACAATACGACACGGGTGCCGAATAATTTTTTAGTGGGTGTACATGAAATGCTTAGTTATCATTTTTAATTTCAGGATCAGTCCATCATCTCTTAAAGGGACCACAGTAATAGTCATTATTTCGGTGCTAGCAAAATTTTACTCCATCTGGATAATTCCGTAT